CACGTATCAGTGCTATTCTATGARGTCTTTCATGAAGTTCTATTCCAGAACAGAAAGACTGAGGAAGCACGACCAAAAGATGCACTGGGTAAAAACTATTCAATATTGATGCACATGCCATTGACAAATATAAAATAAAGAAATTATCATCGAATAWTTATAGTCTAATATATGAATGTCTTTGAGGAGTAATGAGTTGTTGCCACCGRCCAATTCACATTTCCGTAATAATCTTCTTCAGGGTTCCCTGCGCCATCTTGAAAGGTAATCCTCCATCACTATATAACGTTTTAAATAGGAGAACAGCCGATTGCCCTGGCTACTTATAACCTTAAAAGACCGATTATCAAATTCGCAGTAAGAACAGATAATCTAAGATTAAATCCTACGCGTTCTCACCGGCAATCTCTCACCGCTCTCTAAGCACAAACGGAAGTCTAGACATATGCAAGTCAAYCCATAAACTCCTCATGCTGATAACGGCTAATGTTCAAACGTTGACCAGTTCTTCAGAAACCAAGGGCAAAGTCCAGGTTCTTAGAACAACGTCTGAAAGTGTTTGGTTTTGTGGCACATTCAGGTGATGTGCCTCAACACTCAATATTGTGTTTGAGAGAAGCTTTGGTATGAAAATGTATAAAAAGAGTTTTTATTTACCATGATTTACACTCATGGATAGAACGTCTTAGTTTTCATCGTCGTCGTTGAAATTAAAATATTAAAGATAGTCGAATTTCGCCTCAGTAGTCAAATGCACTAAGCAATCAAAACGAGGCGCCGCGCATACTGAGATTKAGWGCAYGGCGCCTCGTYTTGATTCTTTTGTGTTAGACTACTRAGAAAAATTCGCAAGTCAGTTATTCACTTGGTTGTGATCACTTATTAGCCCTGAACTAACAATAGGGCAACAAATACCGTCCACAATTGTCGTTTGAACGCTTTGTTTATAGAATATCAGAAGTGCGAAATCGTGGCCACCAAATGAAGTCAATTCAAGGTTGAGTGGTGGTGCTTCATCAACACACAAATACAAGCGATTAATTTGCTTTTACGATGCGACGCAAGTTCCTAATCGACTTGTCTCGTTTGTCTTCCAATGGTGTTACAAAATAAGCGTTTGTTATGGGGAACAGGGGTTGTCTTGAAACTTTCTGGGGTGTAGAGCTGCACTACTTTTTGCAAAGCGTTGCTGCAACGCCATGGTAGGTTTTGCTAGCCCTCAATCTCAAATTTTGAGGCAAGTATTCAGAAATGGCAACTCAACAATAACTGTATTGTCTGCAATTCCCCTGCAAAGCTGGTTGCGAGTCAAGTGTCAAGTTGCCTGTCACAAGACAGTTACGAGAAAATCGGTTTCTGAGAAAGCCAGACAATGCCGTATACTAGCACCATTACTACAGCAATCCTAAAAACTCACTTGTATTTTATGGCGCCCTTCCCATACGTCCATAGGGTGCATGAGAATATACGAAGTAAGGGATAACACAGATAAATAACTGCCAGCCAGGAAATACTTGGGGAAAAGTTTGCTCTGTAGTTGACCAAAGGAGTGTCTTGCCATGTTGAAATACATTGTCGCGCCTACAGGGATGATAAGAGAAACCATTGTTTCACATTGCCTGCATAAATATCAATAATATGCTTGTTAAACGGCAAATTGCTGCGATCCTTGTTTTCGGGCTGCATGTGATGTGCCTATTGTTAAAACGGTTGCCATCTTGAATTTTCCGCCATTTTTGAACGAGTTATAAATTTTCGTGACTGAGACATGTAGGAGATAAAACTTTTTCAGGTCTAGCCTAGCCGGCAGTTAAACTTTTGTAAACACAAAATTGTGGAAAATTCGGGATAGCGAACTTTTGGCGAAAACAATTGATACAGATAAGTTATAGTCAACATTCTTCTCAAACTCATTAAAAATTCATGACTTGCCTGTCCAATCATTAGATCTCTTTAGGATCACGTGTATGCACTTGGATACCTTGATCCAACACCGAATGCAAATGAGATCCATCTCCTAGGATTTGGATATCCAAGTCCTAGGAGTTTCCTCAGATATCCAAATCCTAGAGCTGCATATTTATTTTTATACAAAATGTTACTTTCATCTGATATTTCTTTTTAGCTTTTATATACTATTTCCTCTTTTTCGTCTTACTTTCATTTTTCTTTCACCCTAATCTAATCTACCTGATGTCTTTACATATTAAATTTATTTCTATTTTGATTTTACTTTTTAAGTAACAATGCGCTAAAGGGAATGCGCTAACTAGGGAACTCTCTATTGTTCTGCGGCATAGCAAGATCCCCATGTACGAATGTCTTGGTTTTCACACTGATTATGTATCCATCGGTGGGTAACACATTTTTGAAATAAAATGTGGATAAATTCTATTTTGAAACAAAGTTTCTTTTGTATTAAAAGCTCTTATCCAATCATAAGCACTCAAAACAATAGCCAAAAGATGCTTCTAATTTGCAATGTTCCCCACATAGAATTGCCTTAATATTGAAGCTAAAGAAAGCTTTCATGAAAGCGAAAACAGACATTAAATAAAATATTAGAAAATTCGCTAACTTGTGAAATTATAGCAGATTTTCATGTTTTAACCAATGGGATGGATGGATTATACAATGCGCAATTAGCACCTTCTTGCATTCCTGTGCCGTTTGCTTCCCTAGTTCTTACGCGGGGCATTACTTAACTTATATTGCAGCGCCGTTGACTCGAACTTTTAACCTCTCGCATGATATCCCTTTGATCTACCAACTAAGCTATTTGTGAATTGGCTGGATATTATGATTTGATTCTAATGGTCATTCATTTCATTCATTTATACAGCTATTTCAAAAAACGTTGTCGGGGAGAACGGCGAACGGCGATTGTCGAAGGGAGATTGCACGACCGAATGGGACTATGGTTACACTGTTTTGATAAACAGTATTTCACTTATTGGATTCACCTTACATAGAAATGGAGACTAAATGGAGCCATTGTTTACCACAGACCATCTACAGTACAAATCAGTTGTTATTGCCTTTAAACTAACAAAACCCATGGCTACTTTCGGTCGTGCAATTGCCGTTCCACCATTGACATTCGCCATTTTATCCGACAACCTTTTTTGAAACAGCTATATATTTTTCAAATAGTGCATGCTTACCAGCATTTGCGTTAGTAACAAATATCCACGCATAAATGGACAGTCAACTAACAACGAATACTGTAGAAAGCTACTTTTTTATTGAACAACTAATTATTGTAATAGAAGTTGATTTCACAATTTGTGAAGGTATTTCCTTCCAAATCAACATCAAAGCACTCTTTCTCTTCAGTTCTCTCTTTTACATGGTGTCGTACTGACTCAATTCATTCAGCTGAAGCCAGCCTTATATACGAAAATTTCACAATGAATTGAATTAAATCATGCAAATTCCCTTGTTTTCTAAACATAGTTCTTATCGCTTATGAGTCATTCATTATTAATTTTTCTGAGAAGCCAGATCAAAAACTAGTGCTTCGTGTTTCATCAGGTGAATCAAAACAGCTCGAAACAGATAAAAGCACTCCGCCTGCGGCCTCATGCTTTTATCAGTTCGTCGTTATTTGGACTATAGTCAGGCCAGAATCACTTCGAAAGGCTGAATGAAATTTCGTCAGGGGTTATATTCTTTGACAATAGTTTCAATTTCGCACGATGTTAACATCTGACAAGTAAATGACATTAAATCCATGCCGATCAAAATAACTGTGGTATACATATCCAGAGGCCTCAAATATTTTTAAAAACTAAGTTGTGGTCTGAACTCTGACCCATCCCGCACAGCTGCGCAGGACCGGCAATGGAAACAGCCAAGAGGCAGTAACGGTTGCTTTTCATGAAATCAAGATATATCAGGCTAATTGATCAGCCATGTTGGATGAATAAATCCCTTCTTGAAGTTCATTCAAGATGGACGCTTTGATGTTTAATTCAATCGAAGAATATAAAAAAATGTCAAAAAAATGCTGTATTAATCCGATTTATTCATACATGTATCTTCTCAATCTTATACGGGGGTAGGGACTCCCTTATAAAAGTTGGTAGGTATGCTCGACGGACCTTTTAGGGTCGAAAATAAAACCCTCGCGTACATTTTAGGGCCCTGCGCTGACTCCGTACCTTTTAGGGCAATTTTCGAAGAACGTGGAAAAAATGAAGAAGTTATAAGAAATAGATTTTATTAAGCTCAACAACAGTCAACAATCTATCGACATTGATTTTCTACAGTGTTAAAATTGAGCTTTTCTCTTGTTAAAGACGTCAAAAATGGCCGTACCTTTTAGTGTCTGRAATGGATACCTGAATTAATTAGTGCATACCTTTTAGGATCATTTTTTCAATCCGTCCGTCGAGCATAGCTACCAACGTTTATAAGGGAGTCCCCCCCTAACGCCCTAAATTCATAACATTTTTATTATGGGTTTGACTATCACTAGATGTATTTATAACATATATCTTTTTCGGTGCTTTTCACCACAAGGTGAATAACCTTTCACATCAAGATTCATACTATAATGAAAATATTAATTACGATAGTAACACAAGATATCTGGAAAAGGTATTCTTTGGTTGCATGTCATTTCATAGTCACAACATATTGGATGATATTAACATATGGCACCGATGGATTTTTAATTTCTTCCCCGTTTTTTCTCATTCTTGCTAGTCAGTTATCTTGTAAAGATTTTTCCATTTTCGTGCTTATTTTTTCTTTGGCCTGTATTTAAAAGTGTGCTAATATCTAATATCAATAGCAAGGAAAACAAGCCTATATGCGTCCATAAAAAGTCTTTCGTTCTAGCTATGTTCTCAAAAGGAATGGCCGAAGTTTCCGGAATTTGAAATGACGTTCAAGAGACTAATGCATCACTACGTCTGAGAGGTCAGATTATAGCATAGAGTTAAATGTTCCTCTTATGAAGAACCTGATCAGGCTAGGACGTCCGTAGTACAAAATCTTGTGCAATCGATTGACGGAATCACTTCATCGCGAGGTCATCGATAACCATGCATCAGTTTAGAATCTTTAAAAGGTCTTTTCGAACTAGTTGTAGGTCATTTGAAACAGCAACCAAATACAGTTTTTTGGTCCACGACTTTTTTTGGATAAGAGATGAATGAAATAGAGAGCATAGTGACTTTGGTAAGCTGAATATTCCCAGAGGTACAACGGAAAGTAATACCCTATCCAAACAGCAAATTATTCTGAATTCCAGACATTCTTTGTTATGGTATTGACAGTTTTTAAGTTATAAATGTTGCGTTTCACGAATAGTTATTAGCTTACCTGCGATGAAAGTGGCCCAGAACTGGATTCCCAGCCAAGTACCAAAAGCAAAAAGATACGTAAACCGTGTCATCGTTCCAACAAGTTTTCCTCGTCGAACTTCATCGGACATTTTTGAGGACAAACCAAATGCTAGCATCAGTATAACAAATGCCGCAAGATTTGGACAAAGTCTTGTCGTCATGATCCTTGCCATACTTAAAATATTTTGATGGTAGCCTCGACTTATGAATAAACCAAGTTGCAAACTCGTGCAATTGATCACACTTGGAAGGATTTAATAAAACAACTTCGCTCACTTGACCTCGGCTCAACAGTGACGTAACCCCCTCCCTCTTTTGTTCGCAAAGTTTTATTTGTTGGTATGAATGGTATGAATGGAATGAGAACTAGCCAAGTAAGGCCATCCCCACCAATGAGAAATCAAGCGTTTGCTTGAAAAACACGACTCTCGGTCGAGTCTTTCGAGGAGCTTCTGGCTTATTCGCGTTGATATCCTTAAGTATATTTTCAAGTCAACTGAGCAGTACTTCTTCTTCGTTTGGAAAAAAAAACAGAGCTCTTAATTAAATGTGGCTTTTCTTATACAAGCTTGTTCCTATTGCGTTTTTTAGAGAAAAGGATATCTGCTTACCCTCGAACGAGATCTTCAATAGAGAATCGCGCAGTCAGCATTTAGTTCTTAAAAAAATGCACATGCGTCTCAATTGTTGGCATCACATATTGCACGCAAGTTACTACGTAAAAATCACAATAAAAAGACCAACCAAAACAGTAAATATTTATTCATGCACAAAGCTATTGACAAGATAAGAAAATATAAACAACGACATCGCTTCCACTTAAAGGTTTATTTTTCTCCATGTTTTTCTTATTGAAAAAGAAAACGTGTATGATTTTGCTGACGTCGCGTTTGTTATGTAATCCAAATACCTTTGTGTCAGACGTGCGGAAATAAAGATTCTCATTGAAAGACTTGAAGTTGGTATAAAAGAAGAAAGACATCAAGGTCAAGTATTATTTCACCAGCCATTGTTTTGAATATAAAACTTTGACGTGCCATTGGCATCCCGTGCAAAAAGACCGAAATCCATAGTTTGGGAAAAAACGAGCTCGTACGCCAATTATACGATCAAAACAGCTATGTTCCTTTAAAAACGAGATCGAATGAACTAGAGAAATCACAAATACAACAAATATATTTAATTGAAAGTTTGAGAATAATTGTTAGATATTAATCACCCAACACCTTCCAACATTAGTTTACTATGTTGGGGCTTAAAGTGTCCCTTTGACAATGGCGGCCATTTTGGTTGGGTGCTGTGTTACAGTATATCTATGTTTTACCGTGGATTTCAATACGTTAAAACGTACAAGAATAAATTAAATGGACATAAAATGGAATTATAAACCACAGAAACAATCCACCATTTTAGTTTTACTTTGAACTTTGAATGCCTCATTGCATTGCACAATGCATTGCGAATCACGACTATGGCGTAAAAGCTTCAAAAGTCTATTGTGGATGCACACTTCGATATTTTCAAGAGCTCATTTGAAGGTCAAAAGACTGTAGCGAAGAATAATTATAAGAAGATAGGAACCAGCTTTGCTGTAGGCCGACTACAACGCTTTTATATCATCTCAGAACAAGTACTATATAATATTGCACCACATACATATGATGATTTTCTCGCTTACTGATTGTTTGAGAGTTGTGGTAAAAAAAAGTACATACCACGGTCGCTAGATTTCAATAGTCTTCTTCACGGTTCCCTGCGCCATCTTTAGTAAAAGGTATAGCCTTGCCTTTGCTTTGAAGCGAGACGACCGTAACCTTCTTTCACACCTACAGACAATTATTTACAGGTATCTATCATTGCACGCTCAACGGTTGTCTCGATACGATTTAAAGGCACGGCTACCTTTCAAGACGGCGCACGTAACCATGAAGGAGACTATTGTTCTTTTTATAGCTGGTAAAACAATTATTTGTTTATTTACTATCGTAAATTTGTTAAACATACAACTATTTCTCAATACGTTGTTGTGTGTAGCAAATAGCGCAACCAATTATTGAAAAACGAAATGCATTATTTCTCTATAGACTACTTGCAATATTGCGTCATTAACTACGTACAAGAATGCTTTGCACACTTTTTTTTCGTAACGCAATTACTGCTATTGTTTTACTAATTTCCATTAAAAATCTAAATGACAATAAAAACGCCACGCAAGGCTTTCTGGTAGTTGTAGTAAAGTTACGCCATTGTGCAAATGGCCCGGTCGATGTTACATACAAAATGATTTTAGTTTGATTTAGGTATATATTTTTCCGCTGGCATTCTCACTATCTGAAACAGTGAAAGTCACCTACATCGGTGGTATGACAACGTTACAACGCACTTCGGTATTGGGCCAATACAGCATACAGTATCGTCACTCGGTCAGTGGTAAGTAGGGCTTCACAACGTTGTTTGAAATATCTGTTTACATGAACAGAATAAACAAACATACTTAAGCAGCTCCATTATGTCTGAGTTATTCTATTTTGTCGTAATCAATAAAAATATACATTAAAATGGATCATGCACTCTTACAGCATTTGAAGGATTTTGCACTCTCGGAGAATTAACATTGTTTCCGTTCAAAAGATCAGCGGAGAGCCATCTTACAAAACAAAATGATGAAATTTAAAACTAGTGAACGAGTGAACAAGTTAAAAAGAAAAAGAAAAGAAACGAATTTAAAACAAGATTATAAAGAGCATGTCGCTGTGCTTCCTTGAAATTATTTCAGGATCAAGTAAACAAAGCAATAGACATTTTCGCGGTTAAAATCAAAGCGGGCAACATGTTTGTTGCAGCCATCAAACGAACAAGAGTACCAAGTTATATCAATTAAAATCATATGACTCTTTCTTACCAACAAAAATTATTTTCCTGAAATTGCAAAAAKATAAACAAGCTCAAAAGAGACCATTTATGAAAYTCCACCCGATTCTGCCTCGCTTTGGTACGAAAAAACTATGTCATTGTGTTTGAGGGACTGAACCGTAACCATCCAATTCTAGCAGGCGTTCCTTGCGAATCCTTGACTATGTTTTTAAAAGTTGAAAATAGAAAATCTCTAGAGAAAAATAATAAGTATAACAGTAACAACAGCAAAGGAAGAGATTAAAAGAATTAAAAGAAGAAGGAAAAAAGAAAGAAAAAGAAAAAACAACAACAAGAAACAGACGAAAAAGAGAAATTCCAGCAGCAGGACTCGAACTCAGGACTTTCACTTCAGTAGAAGATGTAACCCCCCGGACATACAAGAAATAATGAAAATAAAAAAATCTAAAAAGATGGGACGATTCCCCCGAGACATTCTATGAAGCTGAGGCGTCGAATCGGCTTACGTTACGGTTAGAGATTTCGGCTCTTCCACGCTATCCCGAGTGAACATAAAACTTAGTCTTAACCAAAAGGCCAGGGAGTGAGGGGGTAGCCGCCCACTAGAGCATACCTATAGCTACCCTCTTAGACCATCGTACTATGAAGACACTTATAGAAATATAATATCTAATGGGGGTAGTCTATTCGGCGAAGTTCTATATGCTAATATATGACGTCACCAAAATCCTTAGGGAGCAGGGAGCAGGGAGCCAATCAGAGCTCAGATCAGGAATTATCATACGATACTGGGTTTGCATAATCATTCTTCAGTGGATTTATTATTTGATGGGGGGTGGGGATGGGTGCTGAGTGCTGGTCTGCGGCCGAATACCCGATGCACTCGATGGAATGTGAYGGCTTTCGCCGAACGAGTTGTTCAGTTGCCGTCATTGTTTTGCAAATCCACCACAGGAAAATGTGTACAGTTCTTATATAAGACAGACTTTACTAGTATTCGGATAAACAGCACGACAAAATTCTCTTCATTCTTAGCGCAAGTGGTTTACAGACCAGACAGGTACTAGTTGTTGCCAAAGATTTATCGGTATTCAACGGAACACAACTGAAGACCGCGACTGAAACTCCAACACGACACTCGAACGTTGACATTTTCGTTCTTGATCAATAAAAGTTTACAAATGGATCAATATTGATTAACAATTATAGTTATAATTGAAGGSGACGAATGATATTCCCTTTAAATTTAATAAAGAAATAAAGAAAAACCTAGTAATCTTTCGACTTTATTTCAAAACTATAATCGGGCGAACGACATTAATCAACATACATGTAATGAAATACAGTTTGAATCAATSACATTTTATCGAAGAAAAAACGCTCGAAGACTGCTCGAGAATTTACCATGAATTTATAAGTCAACAGATACAGCAATGAAAGATATCTTTGACTACAGCTAAATTAAAGCTCTAAAGGACTCCATGTCGTGCATGAAAATTCCTTTTCCGAATCTTTCAGACGGAAATGTTTATTAGTTAGAAACAGAGCGCACCGCGTCAGGACCCCGCGGGAGTAATGATCAACCATTACAATAGGTTCCTTGGCCCCTGGGAATCGCGCCTGGTTGTATTTATAGGCAACGTGTTATGGTTGATCGCCACTGATGCTTCCAGTTCCTTGCAGCGTATACAGATATTTCAGAAAACGTTTAATACTGAAGATAGCTAAGTGTATTCCAAGAGCGAAATGTAAAATGGTTTCATAATAATTACAACAGCTCTCTGTGTTGTGGACACTTGCAAGGTAAGCATTTATATTTCGAATTGCCATTTTGTCACCGCAGTTAACTCGAAGTTTATAACTAAATCTATTAGTGGCCTTGAGTCAGTCGACTGCCTATTTTTCCAACCGCGAAAAAGGCTAATATTTTCCTGATTTAAAAAAAAATCTATTCGGGAAATTCACGAACTTCCTGTACATTCAAACTTATTTGGCGCTGACGAAGAGTCAATTTTCAATGTTGATTTCATGTGCTTGCAAACTCTTCGCGATCAATCAATGCCAACTTGCGTTTCCTGTACATTGGTTTATTAGACTTTTCAGTTTTTTTTTTGAAATTTTAGTCTAGAGGTGAACTTGCGGCACATAGTTTTGAATTTCAAATGTGATATGTCAATATTTAGTCAAGTGGACAAAACCAATCGGTCATGTTARAGCACTGAAACTTTCAGATCTTACTCTCATTAAAATATGTTCTTTCAATGGGTAGATAATGATRTATTAAAACAACTTTGAGCTACGGCGTTATGTTAGCCACGCCCTTTTCACATGGTCTATGTATAAACTATTTTTCGGCAAATTATGACACACCTCAGAATGTAAGACAAAAGAGCACCTGGAATTTGCGTTTACCAATGAAATTGTCAAATATGCGCGGCCTAGGACAGAGCATAAAATAATGATTGGGTTGGGCACATCGGCTATAAGAGTCATGCACGTTTATCAGTGCTGTGCTTATCCTAATTTGCTGAGTAAACTGAGCAGAAAACCAGGCTGCACAGCAAGCTTGTTATTTAGTATAAAAGCGTAACATCAGAAAAATTATATAAATTGCTTTTATATTAAAACTCGGCTAAGTGGAAGGGTTGCCTTTCAACCGCAGAGTCGCGTGCGTCATTTACAAATTGACTCGTAGTGAAAGATTTCMTCTCTTGAAGATCAAGAGGGAATCGCGTTCAAGTACCGGATATTAACATTTTCACTTGCGATGAGAGGGAAAAAGAGCATCAAAGCGGACCAACGTGAGGACTGACATGAACAATGTTACGTAAATTAAATKAGCTCAAACCTTAAGTAACAAATAAAAACACGCAAGAACGGACACGACGAGAGCTTACGTAAAAGCACGAACTGACGCAAAATAAACGAAAAGAACACCTGAGGAACGGCAGACACGAGACAAAATTACGCAAAAACGCAACGAATCAAGTTGAACAAAATATCGTGAGAACGGACATGACACAGAATTATTGCGTAAAAAGCGCAAACCAGGATGCGAAAGGAATGCAGGCCGTCAACCACAGGATAAAATTATAGAGTAATATCCAGAGACCGCTTGCGGCTCTGATCTTTGGGGACACAGTTCCATAAAAGGCGTCTACATATCTACGGTACCATTTCCATGGAACCTTATAGCGTCATTCAYTCACAAATACACAATTCCAAAGTTTTGAGATTTTAATAATCTATTTGTCTATCTATTTTACAATTTTACACTTCGTCCATCAAGCCAACTACTAGTTTTTAAACGTTTAAAAAACGTGMCCAATAAATTATTTATATTTTTATAAATACACGACTTTCCTAGTGATGAATTTTTGCATCGTTTGTAATGGTTATTAACCTTGGTGAAATATAAAAAGAGAGAGACTGTAGYACGGATCMCWARYCTCMTAAAGAGGAAACCACAAGGYTGCTCAATAGGGCAAAAAATGTCGCCTCTGAASGAGCCGACTTTTTAATAATTGCAAATACTTAATAATATYTAAATGGACATAACCAACCCGCACRGCTGTCGTAGYTTATTATGATTGAGTACATGTTTGTCTAGAATTCATTACCAGTTTCCAAGGTTTATATCTCACAATATTTTCCTATTTTTCGCACAAGATAAAAAAATCATTTCGACACCGTATATCTATCTACCTTTTAGACTAGATTAGTGCCGGATAAAGAAAGCTGTTGCTAAAGCAGTTCTTTGTACAAAAAACTGTTTTACAGTGTCCAACAATTGAACGATTTGCTATGTTGAAATAACAAACGACTTCAACATCATTCAACATGTTCAAGAAAATAAATGTTTAACAAAAAAGTTTAAACGCTTTTCAACTAATTCAACATTGAAAGCCCCGCGCAAACGCGTTCATCGCTGCTGTTCATCAAACTAGTTAAACGAATGCTGAAGAAAATGCTTGAGAATAATAGTGTTGATCGTGTCCAGTAAAATTAAGGTAATTTCCTATAAATTTTGATGCCCACAATCGCTATTGATATAGTGCGTTCTCTAATCTCCCGGACAACTTTCCTTGAAATAGCTATATTTATAAAAGTATCTACACGACAAAAACCCCGGACTGCTCATGTGTCCTTCTCTTCTTGATTTTCTCAATAATAACGTCCAAATTCATAGCCATCTTAAGATCACCTTCTACTTTCAACAGTTCTTGCATATAGGCGTTGAACGGCGTCAGCTCTCCACGGAAAATCCTCTGCATGTTTCCTTCATCCATTGTGAGTACTACATTTGGTTGTACGGAAGGAGATGAACCTTTATAGATGCTCCCCGATCCACTAGTGAGGTCCATGATCCAGGTTCCACCATTTTCGCCATGAATATTAAACTGGTAAAGACCACCAAGTTCTCGCACCAGTCCTTCGTCGAGGACACCAGTGACTTGYTGAACGAGAAATTCAGGGGTCACGTGACTAGCTGGCTTGAGSGTCTTGAAKGCAGGTGCTTGGGTGGATACACCAGAAGCTGAAACAACGRAAATGAGTTTTAAAGACCTAATAGGCTAACGCGTTGTTATGTACGTTACCAACCAATCAAAACCCTCCCAGTCTCCTACGCAGCCGTTATCTGTGTCACGTGATATAGAATCAGTCATCAACGGATGAGAGCGTCTCACATTCTGAGCACATAACAATTATTTGAAAAATTCACGGATTTGAAAATAAGAGATAATAAACAAACTTCAATGCATTTCAAAAATTTGTTTTTTGAGCAACATCGTTCCCAGGGCCTTATCCCTTCGCTTGGGGCGAAGGGATAAGACCCTGGGAACGAGGTTGTTTTTTGAGCAACATATTTGGGTTGGTGTATAAACTCAGCTCCCCWTCTCCTCTCCGCGGCCTCTAATATTTTAAGGAATGTACAACGTCCGGGCGTGTCTMTTTTATTCTCCAATGAAAACTGAGGGAGGGAGGTGGGGAGCACCAGAGAAGCAGTGCTAGTGCTGCTCTTGTTCTCGAGTGCTGTCCATCTTCCACTGTGTTTATATCAAACAGAGATACAAACGACCGCTTTACAGCTGCATATTTCTTTTATAGAATTTCTCTTTCAAGGGCGCGCGGAGCGGTAAGCCTTGTATAAGCACGGTCATCAGCCAATAATAAAGGCCGTGTCACACTGGCGTTTTTTTCGTGCAACTTGTGTCGCGCAAAAAAATGTTGAAGTTGCACGAGCGTTTTTTTACGTGTGACACCCCCTCATGCAACTTGTACATTTCATTTTTTTTGTTGAGAGAAAAGTAGAACTGGCTTCTACTTTTTTCAACATTTTCGGAAAAACGCGTGTGTGACATGGTCTCTTGCAACTTCCAAATTTTTCAATTAGGCRCACRAACCCATAAKAAAGCGAGAATCTGTCCTGCTGTCACTTGTTGTAATAATCAACAAAGATGCCCGACGCCATCTTTTGCGAAAGCGATAATTTTGAAGCAAAAAACTAGACAGAAAGTGAGGTGATCGTACATTTTTAATTTACTCGTGCAACTTGAACATTTTTTTGTGCGAGCTAAGTTGCAACGGAATTTTGCTAGTGTGACATGGCATCGTGCAACTTCAACATTTTTTTGCGCGACACAAGTTGCACGAAAAAAACGCCAGTGTGACACGGCCTTAAGAACGCGCGTTAGATTTTTAAAAATGTTCTAAGTATTAATATTATAGCAAAAAGATATAGTAACAACGTGAGCAATGGATGGTTRAAGTAATGTTTAAAGTCCGACAATGAGGACTGGACGGGATTTCAAGTCCGCGCAACTAGTTCTAGTCCGAGGCGTTAGCCGAACTAATTGCAAGGACTTGAAATCCCGTCCAGTCCGAATCGGAGGACTTTGAACGACTTCTCATACCTCAGGAATAATTAAAAAGTATGAGAAAGATGCCTACCTGATGCTATTAGTCCTGATAGTACATTGATGGTTGATGTGTCAGGACCTCCCTTGAAAAGATTCACAACATCRACGCCTTCACTGACTGAAGCTTCCTTCAGTACTCGAATCTGTGAACTGAGAAGATTTGAGAATTAGGTAAGGTAATGAATGTTTCTTGACTCTGTTTCCCTCTCTTTACATGTATCTTATTCAATATTTTTTCATTTTTCCTTATTTCTTTTTCATTCTTTAAACATCCGTCTGCTTAATATATGCCTTAATTTATGCCTACCCATTCAAGAATTCGTTAGATAAGCTTAAACTTAAGTTTAAACAATTTTTTGCAAACTTCTCACAATAGTATAAATCAAAATCGTAGATAAAAATGCATAAAACTTGTACATGTCTAGCTTACAGTTACAGTTGCACAAGTCTATTGAAATGATGACCGCCCAACCACCAGGCAATAACTGGGTGCATTAATATTTCAATGCCGTTACCACTTTACTTGGCTCGATCTTTTGACACATCTTTTCCTTTAACAGATGTTTACTCCCATGTCTATCCATAGATAATGGCATTAAAACACTTAATATCTTGTTAACTTCATTGTTAATTCCTCAGAACTCCCATGGTTAAGGGCCAAGGTTGCAACTAACTAGTGCATTAAGTTAGCAAAACTTACATTGTAACTCTTTCCACTTTAACTCCCCACTTCTCACTACTTTTGTTCAAGTCATTCTACAGAAAAATAATGCAGCACATCAGTGTGGCAATCGCAATGCTTTCAAATTCATCATAGAAAACACCAGATTACTAACTTTTGATATAAAAAAATTGACACATTCTTTCTGCAGAAAAATGCTCTGTAGTTGTTTATTTAATAATTAACTCAAAGCTTAACTCATTAGCTTTGATATGGTCATTCTATTTTACCCAGATCCTACGCAGTTTCCCAAGAAACCAGAGCCTTTAAAAAGGCTCTGGTTTCAGACAAATGATTTGATTGGTCCAAAAATTCCCATGCGTATCAATTTTAATTAAAAGTATGCATTTATAGTACAAATCTGATTGTCTCCAAGCAGAGACTTGAATTTTCTGTTGGTACTTAGAAGAATTTGGATACAATTACTGTAAGAAATGTAATATGGTAGCCCTCAAATAGTCAAAATGCAAATCCTAATTTCAAAGGGCAGGTTAAGTGAAACGTTCCAGTGTCTATTGTCTAGCATATTTAAATGTCATATTTAAATGTCATATTTATATGTCAGGTCAGACAATGAGTCTGCTACTGGTAACATTGTAACCCAGTACAACCTGCCTCATGGACGGGTCGTCAGCGTCTAAACCGGCTCCCCCACCAGTCTAMMYKGKKRRGRRGGKKG